ATGTGGCGATAAACATAGGGGTGCATGTATCTTTTTGAATCAGGGATTTTGTTTTCTTTGGGTAAATTCTTGAATGGAATTGCTGGATCACATGCTATTTCTATATTTGGTTTTTTGAGGAACCTCCATATTGCTTTCTCCACAGCAGTTGCACCAATTTGCGTTCCTAGCAACACCCTTTCTCAGCACCCTTGCCAGCATTTGCTATTTCTTGTCCTTTGGATAGGGCCATTCTAATTGGCGTGAGGTGATATCTCATTGTGGTTTTGATTTGCATTTCTCTGATGATTAGCCATGTGGAACATCTTTTCGTGTGCCTATTGGCCATTTGTATTTCTTCTTTGAAGAAGTATCTGTTCAGGTCCTCTGCCCAGTTTTTGATCAAGTTATTTTTTTTTTTGGGTGTTGAGGCCTATGAACTCTTTATATATTTTGGATGTTAACCCTTATCAGATGAGTCATTTATGAATATATTCTCCCATACTATAGGATGCCTTTTTGTTCTGCTGATGGTGTCCTTTGCTGAACAGAAGCTTTTTAGTTTGATGTAGTCCCACTTGTTCATTTTCTATTTCCCTTGCCTGAGGAGATGTGTTCAGGAAAAAGTTGCTCATGTTTATATTCAAGAGATTTTTGCCTATGTTTTCTTCTAAGAGTTTTTTTTCTCCTGATTCTTAAAAATTTATTTAGAAAATTTTATAGATTCAGCTATCTGCATGATAGTTTAATGGACATATATATATATATAAAATATTCATGTGTGTGTACATTGGAGAATGAAGATCAAGAATAATGCTCTAATATTAATGAAATTTGTAAACTTAAAGGGTAAATAAAGTACTTTTAACAAATAAAGATGCATAGATTAGATAATGATAGTAATATAAAATACTTGTCAGCCCCAGTTATTTGTAACACATGGGTATTCATAGAGGATGTTTTTTTCTCTGTGTAGTTTAGGCAACTCTCAGTGCCCTTTTCAAAGGTCAGCAAGTCCCAGGAAGATGGATTATACATAGGTAGAACAATCTGGCATCCATTATGTTTAAATTCCTGCTAACACTAATAAGATTATCTCTGCCCTTTTCATCCATTTCAAAATAGTTTGGAAATCTCATTTTTAGAAAAGTGTTCTGTTTAGCGTATATGCAAAGAATATCCCCCTTTTCTATTATTTGGTAATAAGGTAAGATATTTTATATAATTTTATTTGAGTCCTCTCTCTTTTTTTCTTGATAAGTCTAGCTAAATGTTTACCCATTTTGTTTGTCTTCAAAGAACCAGTTCTTAGTTTCATTGGTGTTTTACATTTTTTTTTGATATTGTTAATATACAATTACTTGAACATTACAGTTACTAGACTCCCCCTATTATCAAGTCCCCCCCCACATACCCCATTACAGTCACTGTCCATCAGTGTATTAAGATGCTATAGAATCATTACTTGTCTTCTCTGTTTATACTGCCTTTCCCGTGTCCCCCCCAACTACATTATGTGTGCTAATTGTAATGCCTCTTTTTCCCCCTTATCCCTCCCTTCTCACCCATCCTCTCCAGTCCCTTTCCCTTTGGTAAGTGTTAGTCCACTTCTAAGAGTTTTATGGTTTCATGACTTACATTCAGGTCTTTGATCCATTTTGAATTTACCTTTGTGTATGGAGTTAGACAATAATCCAGTTTCATTCTTTTACATATAGCTGTCCAGTTTTGCCAACACCAGTTGTAGAAGAGGGTGCCTTTTCCCCATTGTATGTTCACAGCTCCTTTATCATATACTAATTGACCATATATGCATGGGTTTATTTCTGGGCTCTCTAGTCTGTTCCATTGATCTATGTGTCTGTTCTTGTGCCAGTACCAAATTGTTCTGGTTACTGTAGCTTTGTAGTAGACCTTAAAGTCAGGGAGTGTAATCCCCTCAGCTTTGTTCTTCTTTCTCAGGATTGCTTTGGCTATTCGGGGTCTTTTTGGGTTCCATATGAATTTTAGAACTATTTGTTCTAGTTCATTGAAGAATGTTGTTGGTATTTTGATAGGGATTGCATTAAATCTGTAAATTGCTCTGGGCAGGATGGCCATTTTGACAATACTAGCTTTTTCTATTCATGAATACAGGATAGATTTCCATTTTTTGGTGTCTTCTTTAATTTCTCTCATGAGTGTCTTGTAGTTTTCAGAGCATAGGTGGTGATTGACATTTAATAAACAAAAACTTGGTCCCTAGGTGTGCAGGTCTTATAAATTGGCTCACTAAATGTTTACTCTTAAGCACCTTCTCTTTTGCCTTCCTTTACTTTAGAGGTGGAAAAGAAATGCTAAAATTCTCTGTTTCCTTTACAGCTAGAGATGGATGGCTGTATGATACAGTTTTGTTCAATGAGTGTAGGTAAAAATCTGCTGTGAGGTCTTCTTTTCCTGCATAAAAAGAAAAAGCTACAAGAGGAAAAAGCCCTTTTTCTTAAGCCTTTTGTTGTCTTCTTGACTGAAAACAAGAGAATTTGAGGGTGATTTAATAAAGACACTATTTACAAAGGTGTGGGCAGGGTATAGGGAAACCATGAGGGGCAGAGCAGTATGTCAGGGTAAGTATTAGAGAGGCTGTTACTACTGTAGGCCTGATGGGTGAAGGAAGGGAGTTACTGGAAAAAGGACAAAGGAGCTGTGTTGGTGTGTGTTGGGGGCACCTTGAGGGTGTTATGACCTTTGGTGTGGACACAGATGGTCTCCTTCCTCCATCTGAATTCTGTGAGGACTTCCCTTTAGCTGGACCCCACTAAGATCCAAGGGGCAAGGTCTGCCTCCTAGATACATATCTGGGTAAAAAAGTGTAAAGAGTTAATCTGAAAAGACAAATAACATAAAAGGCATCTCTTATTATTATATCCCTAGTGGGTAACACATAGTAGGAGTGTCTGGCACAAAGTAGGAGATGAATAAATATTTTAGGTTTAATTGAATCCAGTTCTTTGTTCTATCTTACACTGCTTAAGATTCAATCTAAAATCACCAACTACCTCACTCAGTCTCCATAATCCAACATAAAATTTCTGGTCTGCAAGGAACTTTCTTTACCCATTAGAAAAAAAGGTATTTGAGTCCCTTTATGAGGCCAGATTAAGAAGTGGCTCATTGAAATGACTTTTGTATGTCTGGAGTTTTTAAAGCATTAGATGGTTCTTTAGTTTTACAAAGCTTGTCCTCCAGTACAATCTAATTCCTACATACCCAGCTCATCAGGGCCTTCCAGAAGAAATAAATCCTGTGAGCTGCCTATATGACTAAGTCTCAGTTTCCACATCTGTAAGACAAGGATGCTAATAGCTACCTATCATTCAAGTCTCAGGCACAAATGTCACCTCCTTAGGCTTTCTAGGATGTCATAAAAAAGAGGAGTACCACACCCCAAGTTACTGTCTAGCCCATTAATATCTTTTTCCCCCATTGCAGTTATTGTTTTTTTATTATAATTTATTTGTTGTTTACTTGTAGATTGTTGGTCTTCTCCCTAAAGAACACTTGATCCTTGTGAGCCAACACCTTATCTGTGATATTTGCTGCTCTATTTCCAGCACTTAGAAGGGTGCCTGGGACACGGTGGTTGTTGGATAACTGTTGAAGAATGCATGAATAATGCGAGTTATCAACCTTAGGGCTATCGTGAATATTAAATGAGATAATGAAATGCACCTGGCACAAAGTGGAACCCTGTAAATGTAGGTGATTTCTTTCCTCTTTTTCCCTTCCTCATCTCCTATATCCAAACCTTCAGCCAGTTAGCTTGACTTCAGCCACAAAACATATCCTGAATTCACTACTTCATTCATCTCTACCACTCTTACCTCTCACATAGACTACAAGTAACAGTCTCCTAGCTGATCTCCCTGCTTCCCTTTTTGCTTCATCCCTCTCAAACCCTAATCTATTCTCCACAGCCAGGGAAATCTATTAGATACACAATTCAGATTACATCATGCCCCAATTTAAGCATCCTCAACATTCTAGGTACTTAGAATTAAACGAAATTCCCTTACATGACCTGGCCCCTCCCATCCTCTTAGTCTTCATCTGCTTCAGGCTAACTGGCATTCTCTGTCTCTTCTGGAATTTAAAAATTTATTTCCATTTTAACGCTGATGGATTCTTCTGTTAAAATCTTGTGCTAACTGGCTTCTTGTCATTCAAACTTGTTTCAGTGGGGCTTTCTGAGAGATAGTGTCACTAATCTAAAGCGGTCATGTCTTATCACACTGCCTTTTATAGCGCTTGATACTAATATTTCCTCGTATATATGTTTGTTTCTTCCTAGCTAGGTTTTAAGTTTCCTGAAGGCAGAGACCTTGTCTGTCATGTTCATTGTTCTATCTCCAAAGCTAGAGCAATGCCTGGAACATATATGCTCAATAAATATTTGTTGAATAAATGACTGCACTGATTATGATCATGATGAAAACAAAACGTCAGATGACCTCGCCACAAATTCTAACATTTCCTCAAGAATAAGAATTGTAATTCCGAAGTTAGATCTTGGAAGACTGGAAAAACCTGACAATGAAAGACGTGGGGCTGAAGGCTGGGAGAAGCAGGAGCGAGTATATTGGAACTTTGGCCTTTTTTCCTATCCAAGGACCCCAGAGACCTTGCAAAAAGAAGCGCTAGAATCTTTTCACCAGAAATTCCAGCCTAGCCACAACAGGTATTTTCCATCTATACGATTCCTCTCAGCCACTTCTGCTAGGTTGCAAAAGCGCAAACACCTCTAGGACCCCGGGTTCCTTTCTGTTTCTTTATGAATGAACCGGCTCTAGTCTGCGCACGCGCAGCTCCTCGTTCTCCCGCTCCACGTGAGGCCCACCCTTCCCTCCTACTGGCGGCCCCGCCTTTATCCTTTCTAATGGACCAATGGCAAGCCGCCTGGGGGGCGGAGCCCGGAGCGGCGCGGCACTGTAGATCCCCAGGCGCCCGGCTCCCTCGCGTTAGTCTTGCTGTGTTGTGATCACGTGGTCAGCTCCGGGCGCGGTGCTTGTTTTGGTTTCCCTCTATTCTACCCCTGGCAGCTTCGGAGTGAGAGATATTCTGGTGCTTTGCCTCGCTTGCCTACATTCTGACCTTCTCTTCTTAGGGCTCTGTCAGCCCGCAGTTCTGCAAGCCCTTCGGGGCCGGCGCCTGCCATGCCGCTAGTTCGCTACAGGAAGGTGGTCATCCTCGGATACCGCTCCGTAGGTGAGTCTCCGCCTTGGGAAAAACACGGACGCACCACGACTTTGTGGCCAGAGGAGGCGCGCTGTCGCGGGAACGCGACCGTGGGAGGAATGGTGGTATCGTTAGAACGAGGTTGTAGAGCGAGGGTTCAGAGGATGGAGGAGGAAAAGCTGGGGTAGTCGTAGTGTATTGAGGGCTGCAGGGAGCGGGAGCACATAGGAGTTAATGTGGGCTTGGCTGCAAGAACACCAGAGTGGGGTTCATTACTTGGCTGCATTACTCTGGGGGGTGGGGGTGGCGTCAGGATTTGATGATGGGGGCGCGTTCTGCGTGGGGCAAATCGCAGGTGTCCGAGTGCTGGACAGACTTCATTTTAGGGAATCCCGGATCTTTCCAGGCGTGGGGTGGGGAAAGGCGGCAGGAAAGGCTTCCTGCGGCGCAACTGAATGCATCCGGTGGCCGAGATGCCGAGACCTAGGGCGAAAAGAGGGTGAGGATAGGCTAAGAAAAAGCTTTGTATGGGGCACTCACAGGCTAGGGGACCAATTTGGGGTCCCCTTTAGTTCTGGGCCACAGCCGGTAAGGACAGATGTGAATGTGGATGGTTGATTTGGATACAACTACCACTGCTTCCCACAGGGAAGACATCTTTGGCACATCAGTTTGTGGAGGGCGAGTTCCTGGAAGGCTATGATCCTACAGTGGAGAATAGTAAGTGGACGTCTACCCTAGGGTGGGGCAGGGAAGGCTTGGGTGCCCCACCCAAAGCCATAATTCAACATTTTCCTGGTACCAAGGGGCTGATTTAATAGGACATTAAATCTTATCTCTAGCAATCCTGTTCTATGAGTGAAGCTAGAGTGTACATTTTGCAAGATGTTGAATCCAGAATGCTGTGGATATAGACAATAAGAACCCTAATGTTGTCTCTTCAGTTTGCTGGAGAGCTCCATGGACCTGGTCCATCTATGTCACCTGCAGGGCTAAGAATGTATGAGGGCACACATAGCTAGCCCTTTAAGGCACTTCACAGTCAAGTTTTCTTTTCTTTTCAGCCTACAGCAAGATAGTGACTCTTGGCAAAGATGAGTTTCACCTACACCTGGTGGACACAGCAGGGCAGGTACCAGTTTGGGGTAGGGGATCTAAACATGGCAGTTCAGTTCTGGGAGATGAAGTCTGGTAGCCTCTGTCGTTTATCTGTAAAGTACTATGAAAAGAAAAGCATTTTAACAGCTGGTAGTGTATAGCGATTATTGTAGCTACTTTGTAAATGCTTTTTGAATAGAAGTAAAGAGTAGGGAGTGCCCCAGGGAGGGTCCCCAGGATGCAGCCTACCAGACTTTGCCATCTGAATGTTGTGGATATAGGTACCGATGTTTCTATTTCTTGTCAGGATGAATACAGCATTCTGCCCTATTCATTCATCATTGGGGTCCATGGTTATGTGCTTGTGTATTCTGTCACCTCTCTGCATAGGTAAGTGACCAAGGTTTTGAGTGGGGTACTTGAGAGGATCTGAGGACTGTTACAGAATAAGGTTATAGCTCCATTTCTTGTGTTTGAAGCTTCCAAGTCATTGAGAGTCTATACCAAAAACTACATGAAAGCCATGGGAAAACACGGTAAGTGGCCCTGGGGATAGACATAGTATGGACACAGGGGGATGAGACAGAACAGAAAGGAGTACTGGTCTAAGTTAGGGAGGCAGCCAAGACATAGATTCTTCTGGTCTGATGGGAAGTTTCCAGGCCTGACATGAAGGAGGTTGGGATCCACGGGGACCGGGAGGGGATCCTGTAGTTAACTGCTATCTCCTCACAGGCTGCCAGTGGTGCTCGTGGGGAACAAGGCAGATCTCTCTCCAGACAGGTACGGAAATCTCTGCAGCTCAGGGCAAAGGAAAGTAGGCTGGACTGGGAATGCATCAGGCTCTAGTCCTAGCTCTGCCACTGACTCGAACAAGTCATTTCATCTCTTCATTTCTAACTTTAAGGTTAAGACAAGATAACCCTGCTGTTGAAAAAATCTGTAATTTTATATCTCAAGCCTCAGTACTAGACTCCTTTGTTTTCATATATATTCTCCTTCCCCAGCCTTCTCCCAAACCCTTGGAAGTGGAATGGGTTAGAGGAAGTCTAGATCCTATGAAGATTTTGCAGACAACATGGGAGCATTGCTATCCTCCATTTTCACATCCCAACTTGGCTTGTAGGGAGGTCCAGGCAATTGAAGGGAAGAAGCTGGCAGAGTCCTGGGGTGCGACATTTATGGAGTCATCTGCTCGAGAGAATCAGGTGCTGGGCCTGAAGATTTGGAATGGGTGGGTGGGTAGCACTTTTTCTATGGCACTGCTTGGTGGTGGGGATGGTGCGGGAGGAGGTATTCATCTTGGAGCTAGGTGGTATTGGCACTAACTTTTTTGCCTTGAATTCCTATCTCTTGCAGCTGACTCAAGGCATCTTCACTAAAGTCATTCAGGAGATTGCCAGGGTGGAGAATTCCTATGGGCAAGAGCGCCGTTGCTGTCTCATGTGAACCATCGGACACAGGGTAGCAGCCTTGATTCTGCCCCTTCCACTTGCCAGGCTCCAGCAGGGGCAGGCCCTCAGGACTTTACGGGTATGGGTGCCAGCTGTGTTCCCTGGCCCTCTGGGCACAGTGTGGTACCCTCATGTTTGCACACTTTCCCCAGGCTTTAGTAGTCTGGTTGTCAATGTTTACAAAGGGGCAAGGATGTGTCATGGGCACTGACCTCTAGCCCTCTGTTTTTGCTAAATGAATTATTATAACCTGCAGGGTTGGGATATGCATCCTGGGCATTATTTATTCAGGACCCAGTCTCCTATGTAGGTTTTAGGTGTTGGCTGGGTGAAGGGAGCTTGGGAGTCCTGAAGTGAAGCTGGCTCCCTGGGGTGATAATGTATATATGAAAATAAACTGAGAAATCTTTTTGTTGTTGACTTCTCTTTATCTGGGGAGTGCTGAGGGCAAGTTATTTCCTTTTCCAAGGAGTAATGAGTGTGGTCTTTGGTGGGGAATCAGGGCCAATTCTTTTCTCCTACTCCTACTTTCCTTCCTATTCCTTACTCCTGAGTCATTCAGGACCATTACCCCAAGACTACTCGCTTCTCCAACCATTTTTTTTACAGCGTTCTTCTTACACAGGTACCAGTTTGCTGCCACTCCCAAGTGTGCAGACTATTAAGATCCCCTCAACTACAGAAACACCACCCTCTAGTGGCCAGCTGCCACATGCTGACCTAGCTTCCCTCCTGGGGCCTGGCATTTACTGGAACTCAAACAGGGTAGGGTTTGGGGAGGAGGAAGCCCCTCATTCCTATGATGTAAGAATTGAGGAAAAGTATAGAGGCAGGGACTTGATTGTATGTGAAGATTTTGGCTTTCTAAGAAAGTAAGAAATCATGCCCCTTGTGTAGGTCAATTGCCCTCCCTATCTTCCATGTCCCCATTGCTCTTCATTAAAATGGAGGTTCTTTGCGCTTTTCATAGCTTTGACCTTATCATACCTCTTACACCTTTGGAGTTGTGCTTCCTTTTTTAGGTGTCAAAGGTATTGTTTCTGCCCTTTCTTATTGACCTGTGACCTCAGGAGGAGGATGGATATTTCAGGTTTGGTCCTATCTGCCTCTATTCCTGTCCCCGCTCTACTTCCTAGGGCCTAACTGACCTAATACCTCCTTCAAGGACTTACAAGGGTTACTTGAATGATATCCTGATTGTACAGATTTCTCCTGCCATCTGGGGGATCCGGAGGTACTCTGTCAAAGCACTTGGTTGGGAAGAATGGACAAAATCTAGGTGTGACTTTTTTTAGATGTAACCTTTTTAGTGCCTGGCTCTAGGCTAGTTGGGCTCACTAGTTGGTGATGACTGTCACACTGTTTTTCAAAAGTCCTGCCAACTGCTTTTGCATCTCTGATCCAGAATCTGAAAGGAAATAAGCATTCTCCAAAGAGTGATCTCAGTGGCTTAGAGTCTCTTTAGGGTTGTCACCACCCTCCCTCCTTACATAAAAAATGGGTCCTTTTGCACATTTGATCTGGAATACTCATTATAGGTATTTACCTACCCTTTTGCTGTCATTTCCATGAGGTCCAGCATACAAGTATCTGACATTTTCTAGGAGTGTATCAAACAACCTCAAGTTCTGATAACAATAAAGAATAGTTGTTAGTGGCTGGGTTGAAATAGTCACTCTTCCACTTTTTTTGGTGACCTTGGGCAGCCACTTAACCTCTTCACCTCTCTGGGCCTCATTTCTCATATATGAAGTATAGTTAAACCTTTACAGGGTCGAGATTGAGAAACTGAAGTAATAGGAAATGCTTAGCACAGTTCCTTATGCATAAGAAACCCTCAAAAAATGGTGGCTATTGTTATTGGAGGTATTTCTGGTGAAGGTCAGCCTCTCTGTAGTTGAAGCAGAGAGTAGGAAGGGTCCTTATATTTTCCAACTCTTGTCTCGGGTTAACTTTTTCCACTATAGCTAGGACAGGTGTGGGGATCACTGCTGGAATTTTTGCTGAAATAGACCTGAATGATCAGTGCAGGGTACATGATGTCAGTGTGTGGCTAGCACAGGACATGCATAATCCTGATCCCTCCCATGACACTGGCCAGTAGGTATTTAGGTTTCCTACACTGTCCAGTAAAAAAGCCACAAGTCACATATTATTATTTAAGCTACATTTCTATTAAAATTAATAAGTTCCTCAATTGCACTACTTACATTTCAAAGTGCTCTATAGGTACACGTGGCTAAGGCATATTAGATTGTGCAGACATAGCACATTTCCATCATTGCAGAAAGTTCTACTGGAGAGCACGGTAAAACCTTACCCACAAAATCAGCCCTGCACCTAATTTGTTTGCTTCTTTCTCCACATCTTCCTTACAAAGAACTATATATATATATATATATATATANAATACTAGGAAAAACATGACCATTGGTTTGAATCATGGCTCAACTTCTCAATAGATACAGTTCGTTGTGCAATTGTACCTAGTTTAGCTTTAATCTCTTCATTTGTAACCCTGACATAACTCCATGTAATTCATAAGGAGGGTGAAGAAAAACTAAGAATATATAAAATATCTAGCACATAGTTAATTTGTCTCCTGTCCATCCTGTGGGTACAGCTAATGTAGAAAAGGCATTCCAATCCCTTCTCATCCACTTATGGGCGGTGGGCAGGGTGTGTGTGGGTGCCTTCAAGCACAGTGTTGTAGGATCCTGTCTAGAGTTAAGTACTACAGTGAAGCAGCAGCGAAGCTCCAGGGTACATTCCCTCTGTTTATTAAAAAAGGGGACATGGGCCCTGAAGATTCGGGAAGAAAGACTGGGGTGGGCGGTGGGGGGTGGGAGTAGCCGGATAGGAAGGGAAAACTACATTAATGTTTTGATGAGGGAAGTGCGTGTGTGTTTTGGGGGGACTGATAGTCCTCTTTCCTCATGAAGGGGTTTGGGAGCCAGATGGGACGACTAGGGGCTCGTTCCACTTTCCTTCGGGTCCCCGAACGAGGCAAGAACCCACCCTTTTCTGCGCCAGGCGCTGTGCCTCACTTTCTCCATTTACGGACTCCAGTTCCCAGGATGCAGAGCAGCGGCCAAGCTCCTGGCTCTTCTTCCATCCCCCTCTCGGGAAAGATTGCCCCAGGCCAAGGCAAGGGGGCAGTTGGAGGTTCAGGGACTGATAACTCCAAGGGAAAGGAATTAGAAAGTGGCCGCAGTCCTAGTTTCACGAGCCGGGCGGTAAAGGAGGTAGTTCCCTGGTCCGCGCGAAGAAGTAGGGGGGGGCGGGGGGGTGCTTCATTCCCACGTGTCTGCACAGCAGCCGGCCCGGCGCAGTCGGGGTTAACCCGTGGCGGAGGGGTCCCGCAGCGTGTGCGTAGAACTGCAGAGTCACAGCCTTCCCTCCGAAAGGGCGGTATCCCTCCGCCGCTCCGCTCCAACACAAAATAGGGCCGCGTCTTCTCCTTTCTCCCCTTCTCGAGTGGGGTTCCCCAGGCAAAAGCTCCCCCTCGGACCTCGCCCCGGAGGCTTCCTGAATCTCCACGACCGCTACCGAGATCTCGAGCCAGGAAATAGCCCTTTCGCAGGAACCACCCTACCGGCCGAACAGGAGGCGGAGGGGGGGAGGCGGAGCGGCGCCGCGCTGCACTACTTTCCTCTCCGGTTGCAAATGGCTGCCTCGTTCCCCACTTTCCGCTCAGTTTCCTGACCTCCGGCGCCGGGAGCCGGGGTTGGGCCATGCACCTTTAGGCTCTTCGCGATCACAGCCAGCCGGGGGTCGAGGGGGTGCCTCCGATCAGAGCCGGCCAGGCCGGGGGCGGGGCAGCTCCCGAGGCCAGAGGGGAAGGGAGGCGAGCTCAGGGCCTGGAGCGGCCGGAGGGGAGCGGGCAAAGGGCTCGCACCGCCCGCCCCTTCCTCTTCCTCGCCCACCTACCCTCCTCCCTTCCCCGGGGGGAGTAGAAGGTGGGGGGCTCGAAGCCGCCGAGGGCGAGCGCTTGGGGTCGAGGAGCCCGGCGCTAGGTGTGTGTCAGGTTCAGTTCCGCGGCCCCGCCGGCTCCGCGTCGCTGTAGCTCGCGCGGCCCCGGGGCGCCGGTCCGGGCGGGGAGAGGGGCTCGGCGCTCCTGCGAGGGTCTCACGTTCCATCCGGGCCCGGCGCGGGGCGGCGCGGCATTCCTTCCGGGCTGCTGGGGAGGCGCCTCGACGTTCCATCTGGAGAGCCTCGACGTTCCGCCCGAGCCCGGCGCGGGCGGCCGGGGCGCTGGCCCGGCCCTAGGATCGAGAGGCCGCCCGACGACGCGGATGCGGAGCCTGCTCGCCCAAGATCAAAGCCACCGGTGCTCTCTTTGTGTCCGCTCGGGATTCGCCGCCCAAGGGCTGTTCATGGAAACCTAAACTGCTGGAACCCGAGGCAGAGAACCCCTCGTTGGCTTCTTGCTCTTTTTTTGGGGGGAGGGTGGCCACTCCGACCTGGATTTACCGTTCTTGGCCCCCCTAGGCCCCCCCGTGTGGGGGGCGGCTGTGATCGCTCTGGCGGTTGGAGGTCGGGGAGCGGCCCGGGCTCTGGCCATGTTCTCGGATGAGGATTTCTGGATCGTCCTGTGAAGAGGTGAGTGAAGTCCGCCCGGCCAGGGCCCAGAAAGGGTTGGACTATGGGCATGGCCAGATGGACTTCTTGGCCGTAGCTGGCCTTTAGGTTGTTGAAAGGGGTGCCAGAGCTGAGGAGGGTTCCTTTGGCAGGGACTGTCAAGAGAACCTGAGCCAGTCGCCAGAGCAGAACTGAGGCCTGGTGTCTTGGGGTGTGCCTCTTTAAAGACTGGGGGTTCAGGGAACCACGGGAGTTTGGGAACCTGGCCAGATCGCCTCTCTGCCTGTTTATTTTTCTTTGGGGGGAGCTCTACTAAACTAGGACCCAGGCCCTGATGCCAGCACCAATCCCAGTCAGCTGCTGCTCCCTCAGGGTTCCTTGTGGGCCTTGGGAACAGAACAACTTGGGAGACGGGGTAGGGTGCCACTGCCAGGTCAGCTTTACTGCTGGGGTGGACTTAAGGTTGTTCGTGACCATCCGGGCACCGAGAGCAGTCTCTGGGAGACTCAGGGAACCCTAGATCCTTCACCAGGCCTTATTCTCTGTGCAAAGAGGGAGAGTGTGTGAAAACTGACTAGTGTGATGAAGGGGGTGGCTGGGGCCAGAAGGAGGCGGGGTTGGGGGCAGCTCTGGCCTTGCTGTTCAATTTTAAACTACCCCTGCCTGACCAAGTGACCCCAGCGAGGCCTAGTACTGTCTTAGTTTGCTTTGCCTCCCCTCTGGGGATGGACCTAATCTCTAAGGGATTATAGAGGAGGCCGTTGAGATTTGCTCCCTGCGAATATGGGCTGCGAAAAATGGCTTTTGTCTC